ATCCGGGCATGTTACTATGTTCTTAAAGGAGCATGCATAGTCCATTTCTACTCCCTCGGTGAGAAGAGTTGTTTACTATGATTTTTTTAAAAAAATTGAAATAATTACTTTAAAAAAAAAAAATTTGAGTTCTCAAAAACTTGGATCTCAACATTTGGAAATTGGATGGTTTCTATTCAATCTTGAGACATTTTTTTTTTTTTAGTGCATAAAAGGTGCATTTAAAGATTTTTTTTATTGACATTAATCTATGTTGAAAAAGTTACGTCTTCAAAACTTAAGTTCCTACAATTAATTATAGGCCGACATTTTACTCAATAGAATGAATGATCATTCTACTGGCAAGGGAGCAGGATATGTATATTCACTCTTCATGCGGAGGAAATGGCTTTTGGGTTCTCTGTCATGACGTTCAATGCGCTCTTCCTAAAAGTTTCTTATTTTGGACCATCTGACAATGATCCCACCAGGCTCGGGACCCGGGTGTACCGGACCTTAAATGATCCAAATTTTGAATGTGGACACTATTTGGGTCTTGACCCGACGTGTCGCCACCCCACTTTATCTCTCTAAGATATGATAGAGTTGTGTGCAGCTAGAGAGAGAGCTTATTTCTATTGTCTCCCTCTCTTTTCCGGCCTTGATTTTGGCCCCCTCTCTCTAAAATGAACCAAACCGTTACCTTGTTTTTCCTATGCCCATCATACTTCTCTCTGGCTCTGGCTTTTTATAAGACTGACATACGTTTTATTCAAGGGTGCGGTTTGTATAGAGCTGAGGTTCTAAACAATCAAAGTAAAGCACACCTTCAAATAGTGTCAAGAAATGTAGTTTCAATATTAAAAGATTTTGTAATAGTTTTAAAATAAAATTTTATCTTTATTTATAAAATTTAAAGCTTAAAAAATAGTATAGATCGAGCAAATCTACAAAAATCTTGAAAATTGATGGTCCAAAAATGCATTACAAGATGCACAATTTCAAACACTTTAAATCTTTTTTTTTTTTTCTCATGTCTATGCATCTTATGTTGAGTTTATGTAGCTTTTAAAGGCCTTGTGAGTGCTTGTGAAATGAAATGATATAGTAGAACATAAACTCAATGGGAGTGTGGTCCCTCGTGGACCATACTAAGCAAACGATGTTTGCAGATACTAGACTGTGTTTGACGATCTAGGCCAGTCGGTTGGGAAAAACTCATGTTATCTAGACATAAAGAACAAACCGAGAAGGGTTCTAATGGGTTAGCCCTTGATAAGGTCGGAGAATATGCCCGAATGAGTGAGCCGAGGGACTATGTGACCCTTGTGTGTGATGGTGGCCGACTGAGACATGGGTCAACATTCATGTTTCATCACACGGCATGCATATTGATAGATCATTCGAGAAAAGCCAGATATTCACCTTTGGGTGAAGCGTATGCATGTGCGAGAGAAACCCCTATGCGTCATAGAGATGTGGTCGCATCAGGTTGTGGTGACCTTAACTTGTCTTTAAGGGAGGACCTGTAATCCACAGACTGGTTCATCGACCTGACTTTGGTGACCCGCGAATGAGCCCCTGCTTGAACTGTGGGTCATGGG